TCTCTGGAAGAAAGAAAGGGAAAGAAAGAAAAAGAAAAAAGAAAGTAGAAAACAAGAAAAAAAAAAATTTTAAAAACACATAAAAGTAAGAATTATAAATTTTTATACAAAATAATTTGATTGCGATATTGTCACTTTCAAATAAAAGAGCCACCGCTTTTGAAATTGCAAATTTTATATATATTAATAGAATTGTTACATACAAATTTTATACAAAATGATCTAACTTCTTGTAGTCCACTGATTTTGAAAGTAAAAAACTAATAGTTAGCTTATCATTTCAAATATTTCTACATCCTCGCCTTTTGGACGTATTGTGCCTGTTTGGTGTAACTTAAAACCTGCTTATTTCAGCCTTCAGCTTAATTTAAGTTATTTTGATGTGTTTGGTTTAGCTTATAACTTATAGCTTATAGCTTTTTGGAAGTCAGAAATCAGCTTATTCTATGAGTGAGGCAGGAGATGCTTAATTTATAAATTAAAAATTAGTTTATGTTCATAGTTATAAACTATAACCTGTTTAGACATAAGTTATAAGCACTTTCCCACAACTCTACCAAACATGACCATTGTTTATTACTCCTTGCTGATTGAATGGTTAGGTAAAGTATTTGAATCACGGCGAAGTAGGCCATTCTTTATTACAATATCATAAAAAAATGCACTTAACCTTATCATTTAGAGATAGGAGAAGTCATAATAAAATTTTTATAAGTGAACCTGTGAAAGAATTTTTTTCGATAACTACCTAACAAAACGACCCATGAAGTTGTCTTATTATCGGGAAAGCAAAAGATGAATTTTATTGGCTAACCAACAAAACTTAGTGCGAATTGCGCCAAGAAACTTGAACAATGAAAGCATGCTCATGATGCCTCGTTCACCGGTGCATGAAAGCATTGCATCTTATGAAAAACAATACAAAGTACAATATTTTGTGTGAATTGTGCCACATCATTCTAATTATGATTTTAATAAAATTATGTTTTGGACCTTTACTTCAAAATCAGAGTCGGCACAAGCCTGTTTGGGCCTAATACGAACATCCAATTGAGACCCTCAATAATTTCTACATTGTAAGTTTTAATTTTTTGATGGTATTTTTTTATTTAAAATTCAAAACGTTCACAATCAAAATAATTTTATTAATTCTAATTTTAACATCCAATTGAGACCCTCAATAATTTCTGCATTGTAAGTTTTAATTTTTTTGATGGTATATTTTTATTTAAAATTCAAAGCATTCACAATCAAAATAATTTTATTAATTCTAATTTTAAATTTTTTGCATGACAATCATCCAATATCTCTAACCTTCTCAATAAAAATAATTTTGATGATTAATAAATGAAACCATATAAAATTTCATACATTTGTGAAAAACAAAAACACAATATACAATGAAATAAATGTACTTGTTATAATTTTGATAATTCTGTGAAAAATGGCGATAACTTTTGGTAGCCAAGATAAGATTCTTCACCGCTAAAGAAGAGGGAAAGGGCGTCTAAAGCCCGTACTAAGATGACTGATGAAATGCTATTTTGTTTTGATAATTAACATTTGATATTTTTTATTTATTTATGTAAAAAAAAAATTAATTTCTGAATGTTTTGATAATGTAAAGATATAAAATGAAACTCTCAATAAATTCATCTATTCTTTCTACGACTAAAGACTCGAAGTGGACACTTAAGTTATTTTAGATTATGTTTCAATCATAATAATTTTTTTTAAAAATGAAGTAAAATATAAATATATTTTATTCATAATTTACATATTTAATTTTAATTTTTTACCTAAATTTATTATTCAAACACAAAATGAAAATACAAATAGAGGTGGGCCCAAGTTGACGACCCGTAATTCTAGTTGGCAATTAGTTGTAAGAGGAGTGATGAAGACTCCTTCCAATCACCACCCCACCACTCTCCACACACACGTGACGGGCAATAATAGGAGGACAAGGGGAAAAAAAAAAATTCAACCAATGAAAGAGAGAGGGGGTCAAGGGGGTGGAAAAAAAAAGAAAATCTTAGACATTTTTGTAGTTGTAAAAGACAAGATGTGGCATTGATGACACTAGATTTTTTTTTTTTTGGATATTTTGCCAACCCCATCATGTGATTTTGCCTTGCCTTTCACAGGCTATTTCTTCTTTCGCTTTTTCAACAACAATTGTGCATTTAAAACACGTGCGTGGAAAGAAACGTGTGGCCCATATTGGATCATTCTTTTTCTTATAATTTCTCACATTTTTTTCCTTTTTAAAATAGTGTTTGAATTTTAAATTTTAAAAAAAAATTATAAATAAAAATAAACGAGAAGAAAAATGTAAATAAATATAAGCTAATTTTTCAAAAAAAAAAAAATCTTCTTTCTTCTTTACAAATTTTTTTAATTTAATATTCAAATGCAACTTAAAAAGTTTGCAGTAAAAGCGAGTATGATATATATACATGTGACTGTAAAAATGAAAAGGTAAGTAATTCACATTCACTTTTAAAAAGAAAAAAAATATATTACAAAAGGCTTAAAATAAAATATAAACGTTAAAAAAGTATATGAATTTATATACATAGAAAGAATATTATTTTAAGTTTCCCTTCATATTTTTCTTCTTATTACAAGAAATTGATAATAAGCAAGAAGATGATGTTCATGCCGTCTCATACATAACCTTTTACTTTAATACTATACGAATCAAAATTCTAGCTCCGCAACTACTTGGATTGTTGATGATTAGGTAATGAATGTGACCATGTGGCCACATATGAATATATATAACCTTTCACTTTACTACTAGACAAATCAAAATTCTAACTCTGCAACTACTTGGATTGTTGATGATTTTATTAGTTAGGTAATGAATGTGACCATGTGGCCACATATGAATATATATAGACCATGTGAAGATTTCCATTTCGAAACTTAAAGCGTTAAGCTCACGTCGGAGTTCATATTAACAATGCTACACATGAATTTGGATAAAAATGGAAAGCAAAGATGTAATTTGCCGAAAATGTATGCGTTGCATTCACATGTTTCACTTTTCTTCGGACTCAAGCAAATGTTAGGTTAAACATCATAATGCTTGGTTCGTCATGTATGCATGCATATGCTTAGAAAATTTCAATTTTATTCATGCATGACGTTCTTATAAGTTGTAGTTAAAGAAATTTTTATAAGAACTTTTTTTTTTTTGGATCAACGAAAGTTTGTCATTGGTTTTTATAAGAACTTAATGGATATCAGAAGATGGAATAATCTTATATCCATTAAATTCTTATAATGGAAAGGAATAAAATAATGAAAACTTATTTTGAAAATAAGTAAAAAACTTTTTTATTTTAATTTTTTTTTCAAAATTTTAGAATCAATTTTACTTTTTTGAAGGAGAAAAAAAATATACCTAACAAATTTTTATTTTGGATTTCCAAAAAAACAAAACATTACGCATAGCTTTGATTAGAAAAAAAAAGTTGAAGATATGAATATGATGTGTAGATCGAATCTTACCTGCTATGTGATGCAACTCCCTTTTCTTCTATTCTCCTTTTACCGATTGTAAAATTTAAAAAAAAAAATACAAAAAAAAAAAAATGATATGACAAGGGATCCTTGAATAATGTGAACTTGTGACTTGCTCATTCACAAGTCTACGAAAAATAATTAAGAAACAATTTTTTTGTATTGAGAATCCATCCAGAATCATATAGATGATAATGATTTTTTTTTTAAACTATAAGTCATAATAGTAAATATTCATAAATAACCATATCATTTAACATTAAATTTTTAAATAAAAATTTAATTTATATAACATTACCCGATAGAGAATAATTGGGGATTAATGATAACAGCAATTTTGTCGCAATCTCCTAGCGGCATGTCTCTATCAGAAAATTTTCTTCCTGTCAATTAGATACATCATTAGCTCAAACAACGTTGATTAGCAAATAGTTATTACTACCATAGATCTCTAGTCATGTTTGTCAAGATCTTAACATAGTATTAGCTTCAATAAAACAAGACTGAGATAAATGTATACATTTCAATTGACAGGAAGATATTTTTTGATATGATCACAACCAATTGTGATAAGCCGCACGTTTTTTTTCCCTCTTTAGTATGTTCTTTTACACAATTTGTTACCTAGTACAACAAAAGTAGTTGAAAAGTAAACATAAAATGATGTCTAGACTAGATTTATTCTAGGTGTGATGCATATCATATTGAATTTAAATTCATATTATACACTTCTTTTTTTTAATCACTTCTCGGATTACTTTTTATGATACTCATTTCCTATATATTTTCTAATACAAAATTTGATAAGTATATATATAACACACTCAAACCGAGGTTAAGTGGGTGTCAAGTCCAGTTAAACTAACTTGGTGAGCAGGAATTAAATGTTCAAGATGTCTCTCGCATGTCTGACTATGCCAAAGGTGATTTGGGAAACATGAGCTACTCGTAATGACTAGCTTGAGACTTGAGTTATCACCCTAGTGGTTCTGATGACAACAACTGATTAAGTTCAAGAATAAAAAAGACAATTCAAAAAGACTTAAGAGCTGACCTAATGATGATCAACTCTTTAGTACCACACAAATCATATGATCTTACCATAAGTGTTATAACCAAATCCTAAAATATGACGAGGTGAGTAAGGTGGATGTTGGAATATTCTAAAGAACCTTACTTTGCACGCTAAAGGCATCCTATATAGTAAAGAAAGACAAAGACACAAGGTAAGTCATTCTAAAACCCTGAACCCTCTCTTCTCCAAACTTACTAATTCTCTCATCTTTAATCAGCACCACATTGGTGTTCACCTAAAGACTCTTTTTCATTAATTACACGCACGATTAGAGCAAGGGAGGTCTACCTAGCTCCCCAACACCATCAAAATTCATATTTGAATTGTCTTCCATAATTTTTTTTTTTTTTTTTTCAACATTGTCTTCCACAACTTCCCTCATAGAGATGTGATATGACTAAAACTCCAATACACTATATACATAATCAGATGTAGAGTATAGGTCTCCCCATTCTATTACAGCCCACACTTAAATTATTAAAAAGTTTCAACTATAAACAGACCTATATATAATATTGATCCAAACTACATATACCATTGACCTATATATATAACATTGATATGCTCCTTGGGGCCACGTCTGCGGGCTATGCCAAGATTTATTCGATCCATATGGAAGGATCGCTTTGCATGAGTCCCGCATTAGTCAAGGTGGACGTAAGTTGGTCTGGACAATCGGATATAAAATATATAAATAAATAAAAAAAAAACAGTGATCCAAAATATAGTATATATAACATATTTATCTATAGATATATAGAAAAATATTTATATATATAGATATTATTTAATCCCCATCCCCATTAAGCAGCTGCAGAGACCAGAGGTCGTCCATGCTCCAGACGTTGTCGTTTGATGATTCAGTGGGAAAAGGAGCAGAGAAAGTATCAAGATTTTCTGGGTAAGATGGTGGAGAGTAGATTTGATCAGCTGCATCACGATGCTGATGATCCGCATCATGCGGACCAGGCATCGCTTGGCTTGTGCTGGCTTGATCCATATTATGATCAGCCTCGGAGCTTTGTCCACCGCTCAAAGTTTGATGATCGCCTTGCTTATTCATATGCTTTTGGATCCTCGTCCTCCAGTAGTTCTTTATCTCATTGTCTGTTCTTCCTGGTAGATGCTTTGCAATTTTTGACCACCTTCACCATCAAATAAGAAGTGAAAGACAACCAATACAAATCGAAAGAAAAATTATATATAAACAAAATTTTCGTACAAAAATTACATTTTCTTCTTTTTCTTTTTTTTTATCATTGATAAGACGTTAATTATAAATATGAAAAGTGTTATATCAATCTGAACAATTAAAATCCGACAATATGATAAAGTTAATGGTTACCAAGCCTTAATGACCATAGTTCAAGCTTGAGAATAAATACGCATAACAAAAGATATCAAATTTCTCTTTGTATGAGTTAAATACAGGACTACACAACTATTAGGCTTAAGGCCCTAATTATACGAAAATTGCATCTAAAACAACATAATTGTGACATTTTTAAAATTTTATGCCCAAGTGACAAGTTTTTGTTTAGAAATAAGAGGACTTTAATAAGCCACATCATTCAATTATTTTTGTATAGCATTACTTAAAACGAAATCTCAGGTATCCTTAATCAATAATTAAATATTTTTTCTAAGTAAGTAACTTTAATGGATAAAAATCTGTACCAAAAATTTAATTTCAAATAGAAAGAATAAATCTATATATACTGAATTAAACTATCGAAAAATATGGAGAATGTATTTATCAACATTGTGAGGCTCACTTCCAGTGAAAATAAAAAGAATATACCAATGAAAAAGGATATTCGGCCAAACCTCGCAATATTATGTACATTTTAAATATTTTTTGTTATTTAATTTTATGTATTGAAACTAATTGAAAAAGAAAATGGTAGAGAAGGGAATACATACTATAACGTAATGTTGAAAATAGCGACTCTGAAACCTCTCCAATTGTGACATTGTTACATTGCAAACAGCAACTATGATGTTTGATTCAACAATATTCGAAGGAAATATTACTAATAAATAATGAGGTATGACACATAAGAAAAGAAACAGAACGTTAAAATAAGAAGGAGCATATGACAAAAAAACAAAAAAGAAAGAAAGAATAATTCAACTAAAGAGAAATTTTATAGAGTGGATGGGTGTTAATTTCAAAATATACCCCATTAGATACATCTGGTTGTCTTAGTTGGATAAATGTTATGTAAAAATTATTAAGTTTAAATTTTAAGGTGGGCCTATGGTTAAAAATTTCATTCTCTATATTTTATCCAATAGCTTCAATTTAATAATTACTTTCTATATGTGAAACAAAAATTATAAAATCCAAGTTTTTTTGAGATATAAGCTAAACATCAAAAGAAGACTTTATCTTACTGGGCCTTTAATAAAATTGGAGTGTTCAACGATAAGAATTTTTAATAAAAAAAAATTGAGGGCGCAGACAACAATTTCAATGATATAATAGTTGAGTCACTTCTGCTTGAGAAATTAGTCGGGACGAAATTCTGAACACGGTGGTGAGGAAAAAGAATTTCCCACCATCTCTATGGCTATATAAGAGTGTATTGTAGTAAATGAATTAGATCATGTTCCATGGTTGAGATTTAAAGCCCACACGTTCCATGGTTTGAAATCCAAATCCTTCACTTTCCTTTTGGTTATTTAAGGGAAACTCAGAGGCATTGGAATGAAATCATCTTACTATTTGGCTTATGGGTTTTGGGTTCTAAAAAAACCCACTTCAAATCTCAAAAATCCCAAGTAGAAGTTCGAGTTCATACACGCAAACCCAAGTTGCTGATTTGAAGGAAAAAAAGAGAGCTTCAACAAAAGGTTTGTTCAGAAGCTTTTCACACCCACTTTAAAAGTGGAAGATAGGAGTCTTTAGCTTGACAATGGCTTCCTAAAAGTCAAGAAAAAAAAAGTGTTTTATTATTCCACTAACCCATCATATAATATAATGGGTTTTAGTAGATTAGTTTTTCAAGACTAAATAATTGACTTGATTGTTAGGTGTCATATTTGGATACAGATCTCACTATATGATATAATTTATTTATTTATTTATTTTCTCACTATTTTTTTCCCTCAGCGAAATTTCTCAAATACCTAACCCGAACAACACCAACCCAAACACCCATGCATTTCTCAAATAGCTCACCCGACCCACACCAACCCAAACATCCCTGCCCCTATGGGGATTGAACAAGCTTTGGGGTCATACCACCAGACTTTGTAGCCATTGGCATAAAAGTATACTTGGCGGGCTTCTATTAACCAGTTCTTTCTATTCATTGTAGTTCTTTCTATTCAATGTAGTCATCAGGCCCAATATTAAAAAACATCAAATTATCTAAAAGAAAAGAAAAGTATCGCAACGACCAATACTTTTTTTTATTATAAATATAGGTTTTTCGATTCCAACCCATGATAGTGCATCTTGTAGAGGAGCATAAGATGGTAAAATTTTTGAGAATGTTAGGATGGTGAAGTCTTTTTCAATAGGTGTGCGGGAAAAAATTTAGGGGATTTATGTATAAATCCTAATAAGTGAATTAATTTTCTAATAAGTCCTATAATAATTAATGATAATTTTCATTAAATAATATTTAAAAATGACACTAATTGTTAATTTTCAGTGACAGTTTAAAAAAATTTGTCACAAAAACGTTACTAATTATAAGTTTAGTGGCAATTAAAAAAATCGTTACAAAAAGAGTCATTAATTTTCAACTTTCAGCGATAGTTTAAAAAAATTCATCATAGAAAAATATTACTAATTGTAAGTTTTAGTAATAATTTATAAAAATCGTTAGAAAAAAAAATCGTTAATTATCAATTTTTAGCAACATGTGTAAAAACTCGTCACGAAAATTTATTTTAGTTACGATTTTATCAAGACTAACTTTTAATAAGACTAATAAGAATTAAATTAAACTATTAGAACCTATTAATAATTTATCTAAAATTTCTATGCATGTCTAATTAGCTCACTTTTTTCCACCACCTGTCCTATTCGGCTAACCCTTTAGTTAGGTCTTTACTTGGTCTAGTCTATTTTTATATACGAGATGGCTTCTCTCCAGGTCATATAGTAAATTGGAGCGTATTATTGAGCTCATGAGGTCCATCACGGGTCATGTTTTGATGATCCGAATCGTTAATATGTAAAGCTCGTCGAATATTTTATACTTTTAAAAAATTACATTGATCGAATATCGATAGCCCCTTAATCAGAATACATTTTTGTTAACAATTTATTTTTAAAATCATATTTACCATTGACAAAAATGTATTCTGATAAAGGAGCTACCAATATTCGATCAATGTAATTTTTTGCAAACATAAAGTACTCGACGAGTTTTATATATTAAACAGTGCAGATCATCGAAACGAAACCCATGGTGACTCTCACAAGCCCAATACGCTCCCATCCACACCATCTAAACTGGAAAGAAGCATCTTCCATTCTTATAACTCCGACCTTATTCTGTTTGTCTTCCTACTGTGATAGATTTTAAAATTTAAGAATACAGATCCTGTGTCATTTTCCATCATATTATATGATGAGAAGGAAATTAGTGACTAAGCACAAAAGTTTTGGAACACAAAACACCACACCCATTTTGTGTGAAAATCCCAAATTTATGAAAAAAATATTTTTGGAGTATTATATGACACTGTCTAGTAGCACTCATAAATAAAAAATCGAAACATAAATTAAGAAGTTATTTTTTTTCTCTTAACTATCTAACAAATTTCCACCTAAAAAAAAAAACTACCTAGCAAAATTTATTATATGATTAGTTTAGAACACCTAATAGGTCATATCTTAATGTTTTAAGACTAGTTAATATTTATCCCAAAATTTATAGGGGTCCTTATCTTGAAAAACCTAAATGATAGGGTAGCAGTTAATTTCAATCAAGGTCACTGGGCAACTATTTCAACGGATGGGTGCTGATCCAAAAATGAAACTAGTCCTAATTAATATGCCTGAGAAAATATTTGCTGACCCCTAAAAAGGTGTTTCAATTTAACTTATAATAATGCAATAAATATGTGTTAATTTTTTATTTATCACATGGTCAATTAAATTTATAAACTTAAAATTATAAGTCTAATATTTTTCTATGTTTTTTTTTACAACTTAAATTCATATTTTTCTAATATTTTTTTATATATTTTTCTATACCTAACACTAGTTGTAATACAAAGGTGTAACTTTTGTTGTCCAATTAGTATGCCTAGCATTCAAAACATGCTTATAATGGGGTAATTATTCAGTAATTTCGGAATATAGACACGTGATATTCCATAATATTATGATTGATAGAGAAGGTGGGTAGGTGGAGGGTATTGTGTTGAGTGATCGAGAAACATGAAGAGGCATATTGAATGATGATTGGTGTAATTGTGATGCTCCTGCACTCCTATTTTCTTTATTGGTGTAATTTCTTCCGTACCTTGTACTAGCTTTTACATCAATAAAGTTTCTTTTTTGCTGATCAAAAAAAAATATTGAATGATGATTAGTTAGATAGTACAAACACATGATGCTCAGAAAATATTGAATAATTTCCCGCTTATAACACCCATAAATAATAAGTAATTACGGAGTATTCTTAAAGTATGATGTGACATATTTACGTGGTGTTTCTAACCAATGGCCTAGCCTTTATTAGTGGGATTATGTCGCCTCACCTTGTTAGCTAATTAGGAAACGATAAATGACTCACTTAGTGCGTATAGCATGTTTTTAGGACTAACTTATAATTTTCCAAATAATATATACTTGGAAAAAATATTTAACAAATATTCAGATATTAAAATGTGTAATATAAATCTAAATTTAATGTGGTGTAGTTAAAACTTAAAACAAATCATGTGTACATATCTTAAACAAAAATAACATAGAAGTTTATTTTTCAGATCCATTTTTAAGATCCGGTGATGTGTAAAATAGATGATTGTTTGATAACTAGAAAAGACATAAGAGAGAGAGAGAGAGAGAATTGTCTTATATATTTTAATAGACTGTCACACTATTAGTTTTGAAAAATAAATTTAACTTTTGGATTAGAGTAATACTACTCTATTTTAAATTATAAATTTTTTTTAAGTACTTACCATTATAATAAAAGGTATATTGTACATCTAAAATCATTCCTATACTTCTGAATTTTATTACTAAGTATTGTCATGAAAATCGATTTTTTTATTTTAATTTTACAGAATTTCATGCATCTCATCTGGTTGAAAGAATAATTTGATTAAAAATAAAATAAAAAATAAAAAATAAAGAAAGAAAGAAGAAGAAAGTAGGTTATTCAAAAGGATTTTGTTAGTTATTAATTGATATTCCCACGTTGCAATAGAAAGAGTCATTGGTAGCCCAATAAAAAAAATCTCTTTTTTACAACATTTATTTATGAATCTCACTTCTTGAAAATCCTATAATTCATTTATTTTTTGTATTATATTTTATGTATAAAAATACTTTTTTTTTTTATATATATATATATATATATATATGATATATGTGTTCTAGATAATCATTTTTTTTTTTTTTACTTATATAAAATATTTATGTTTCATAAATTATAAGCAAAACTAGTACCAAATATTATAAAATAAATTTCTAAAATTATAAACACCTCTAATAAACTACACTAAACATGGCCACATTCCCACATTGCAAATTTCCCTTTCTTTCTCTTTCACTATCCAATCAAGGTGATGGGCTTCAAGGATGTTAGCAAAAAAATATCCTAGACATTATTATGAGAAATAAGCTAGTGGCTCTTTTGTGTTCACAAAGTGTGAATGAAGACAAAATGGATTGTTTGTTATAATTTTTTGTGATCTCTCTTCTAACTTTTGGATAATTGATTATTTTTTAGTTTATTTAAAAAAATTAATAAATTATAAGTAAAAATTAAATCATATAATCTGATTCATACTCTTAAAATAAATTAATAAAATATTATAAATAATTCATATAAATTGCACCAATCAATTTTAATGACTTTATCCGAGTGGCATCAACTCAACACTTTCATAGGAGAGTTTGGAGATTTAAGCCCTAGTGGGGTACAAGTATTTGGATGAGCTTGGGAGGAATGGAGTATTTGGAGGTATTTATGAGATTTTTTGGGGATTAAAAAGAAAGTGTAAAGAATCAAAAAAGATTATAAATTTAACACCCCCCCCCCCCAAAAAAAATAAATAAATAAATAAATAAATAAATAAAAATCAAAGGAAGATGTGATTAATCAAAAATGAGTAAAAAAATTAATATAATGATGATATTACAATACCATTAACACATAATATAATTATTTAATAGTAAGTCATCATGTGAAATGATAAATCTTAATATTCAAATATAATTATCATCAAATCTAATACAATCCACCAATTATCAAATCTCCATAATAGAATTTATTCTCCGTTTGGAAATAAGTTATTTTAATTGCCGTTTTGGTATAGTTGGCTTTTTTTGTAATTGATTTGATAGTTATGAGAAAAAAAAGTGAAATAATTATAATTTGAATGTAATATTTTATCTCATTAACTATTTTATCCTACTTTATCTTTATTGACTATTTTAGCCCAAATCCTACTCTCCAAACAGTCCCATAATAGAATTATTGAAGGTGGTGTTGTCATCTTTTTTTTTTTTTCTCAAATTATGAGAAAAATTTAGAACTGACAATTAAATATATTCACAATGATGTGGCAAGAGAGTTTGGTTATATATAGTCAAATGTGATAACAAAAAATTAACACCTACCATACTATATTATTGTGAGTTAAATTTAAAAAAAAAATTAGAAATCTCAAACATTTTTCCAATAATAAAAGACTATGTAATGACATGGTTGAAAAATAGAAATATGTATTGATTAGGCATACACAACAAGGACATAGTGTTTCCAAAAGACTGAATAATTTCTGGTTTTTTTAAAAAAAAATTTTATAGAGAATTTCAAATTCTTAAATATTAATCTTAGGATGCACGTACCTGTTACCCCACATAGCATGCAGTTCCATGATCAAAACCTGTTCCTCTGGTGTAATATTCCCTCTCCTAACATCCGGTCGGAGGTAATTCAGCCACCGGAGCCTACAGCTCTTTCCGGTTCGTTTCAGACCTAAAAAAAAAAATTTTTTTTAAAAATTCAAAACTAGGGTTTCTGTTTCTTACAGAAATAGGAGGGAGAGAGAGAGAGAGAGAAGAAGAAGACAAAGACAAAGAGGGTTTAATTACCAGCAGATCGAGCTAGGGTGTTCCATACACCATCACCATGGGTGGCGATATAGTTGATCAAGATCATGTCTTCTTCCATAGTCCATGGCCCTTTTCTCACCTCTGCATCGCCGCCGGAGTCACATGGCCTTTTATCCATTCTAGAGAGAGAGAGAGAGAGAGAGAGAGGTTAGGCAGGTAGGTGTGGTTTCTGAAGAGAGACAATGGAGTTGGCAGTGAGATTTATAGAGCATGTGTATCATACTTTTCACTAGTCACTCATCTTTTTATTTGATAAAATAGCTTTTGACCTAACTATCATATTAACAAGTATAATTATCATAATAATACTTGCTTATTACATATATATATATATATATATATATGATATATGTTTGCAAATTGCATGCATTCTTTATGATCAAAACCAGTGCATGTACGTGCAGGCACATGCATGACCACGTCCTCTGATTTTTTTTTTTTTTTTTTTTGCCAACTCAGCAAACAATTTCCATTGAAATGGTGTCATCATGAGTATGTATGGACTATATATATATATATATATTATTTTTCTATGAAATAATATATATATATATATAGAAGTAGAAAAAAAGAAAAAGAAAAGAAAGAAGGAATAATAATATATGATTATTGCAAATGCTATGCTATTCAATAATCCACAGATGAGAATAAATATATAAATAAGTAATTTGATCACACGACACGCAAGCTACCATACTGTAGAGTGGCATCATATCCAATAATAACCATTTGATTCACTTTTAAAGGTGATTGAAGACTTTGATTTACTGGAAAGTTTACATGCATGGCTGTATGACTTGTCCTTTTACCTTAAGGCTTGTGAAGTTTATCCTCTCCAATGTTGGTTGTAATTAAAAAATCAAATTATGAAAAATCATGTAAATACTAGCTAGAATATAAAAAGGTTTTTGATAACTCGGTATCTGGTTTATTATACCGGTTAATTTGAGAAATTAATTCTACCATCCACTTGCGGAGACAATAATTAAAGTCAGGGAAAAAATTTCCATATGAGCTGTCTCCAAGAAATTATTTACACTTAAAGGGTATGTTTGATTGACAGGATATTAGAGCATGAAATTGTGATTATTAATTCGTGGGCTCAATAATCCTATGTTTGTTTTGAAATTTTGTTTCATGATTATCAATCCAATGGATAATTAATCCAACAAATTTGTAGGATTATTAGTAATGGAGTAAGGGTGGGATTATATATCCTGAGCTGAGAAATAAAATAAAAAGACTCTTTTACCCTTGACTAAAAAATTGAAACACTTATTATTTTTATATAATTTTATATTTTAGAAGGCTAAAAATAATTTTTAAAAATTTAAAAAAAATTAAAAAACAAACCAAACATGGCCTTTGTATTTTGTATTTTTATTTTGCTTTTATTTATAATTTTTTTCAAAATCACGTTTATGAAGAAATTTTGATAAAGTAAAGATTGTGAAGAAAAATTGATGGATGGTAAGATTGAAAAAAAGATAAATATAGTTATAATCATACATTCATTGTTTTCTTTTTTTTTTTGATCAGCAAAGAAAATTTCATTAACAGCATGAAATTAAAGACACAAGAAGATGACATGCATCGAGAGAGATTCGGAAAGTACAAATTACCCCTACTACAGCTACTCCCATCCATACAACCAACCTCTTGGCCTCACGATTTTTTTTTTTTAAACAAAAACGTTAAGAATGACTTAACTAGAAAATAAATTACATGAATCCCCACAAAATCGACCCACACAACCCAAAGCCAAAAACCAACACCAAAACACCCAAGCTGGATTCATTGTTTTCTTATCCAATATAAATCAAACAATGGATGAGGAGATAATTTATCTTATTAATCTAATTGGATAGTAAATATCACACTAATTTGATGGGATTATTAATACATTCACTATCATCAAATTATTAATACCTATTAGTCTTGTGAATCAAACATGACCAAAAGGCTTTGAACTTAAGACCTTGTAGTAAGCACATTTCAAGTCCCAAGTCTTGACCATCAGACAAATTCCTTGGGATTTATAAAAAAAATTTATACTCTGTATTTTATCTATGTGCTCCAATATTATTTTTTATTTTACATAATTATTCACGTAAATTATTTAAAGAGCCTCATAAGACTCTCTAAATGTAATTAGTCTATAAGTGTCTTGTTAAAATAGCTATTGTAATAGCTATCTCATTAGAATGACAAATAGGATGAGACTAATTACAATAGTTATTAAGCATATTTTAAATAGTCTGTTGAAGATACTCTTATAGTATTTTTTTTCTTAATTTAAAATAAAGATGATTTCACACAATTATTTTATATTTATTGGATAATGTAATGAAATTGTTTATTACAATTATCTTGTTAGACTTAATCCTACATTGTCAATCTAAGCTACAGCTTGGTTAATATAATGTAAGGATCTCTTCACTCATTATCAATTGATTTTGAATCAGACATTTTAACATGATATCATAGTTTAGTCTTGTATAGCCTCTTATATCCTATCGTACAACAATTCAACTCTTAGGCCCCGTTTGGGGACTTACTTTTTTAGCTAATTAGCCAAAAAGTTACTAAATTAGTCAAAGAAAAATGTTTGAGGGCTACAATTTTTGTGGCCACAATGGCTCAAAACTGCCAAAACGACGTCGTTTTGGGTGCAAAACATGCCAAAACGACGTCGTTTTGACAGTTTTGAGCCATTGTGGCCACAAAAATTGTGGCCCTCTAGCATTGTTGTTAGCCAAAAAGCCAACAACTCATACCAAAAAGTCAAAGATTCTCTTTTCTCTCTACTTTTTGCACATCTTTTCGTAATTAGCCAAAAAGTTATCCCAAATATACAAATTTTTTTTACCTATCTTTTTAGCCAAATAGCCAAAAAGTTACTAAATTAATCTGTTCCCAAACGAGGCCTTAATTAGATCTCTCAATCACCTCCATGTGCTACCATGATTTTGAATTAAATGCTTTAACAATCTAATTGAGAAGATCTCAATCTACTAACGAGTACTTTGTTTCGTAATTATTCCTTGCTCTTGGCGGCGGTGGCGGAGCCAGAAAATTAGGTTAGAGAGAACATTTATTAATTATAATTTTTTATTTAAAAAAAAATCATGAACAACATTAAGATAATCATAATTTTATGAGATAAATTTAAACATAAAAAACTACATATTCATTATTAATAAGAACAAATCAAAATTCTATAATAGTGTGGAATAGCTCGGTGTGGGATGATGATGTAAGTTTGCAATTTTAGCACAAAAAAATTATGGATCAAAATTCCTAATTTTAAAAAATAAAAACACATCATTTATAGCACAAATTATTATAAAATCTATTTAATTTTTATTTGACAGAAAAATATTAAAGATATGACATTGTTTATAAATAATGTGTTTTGAATGAAAATTATTAAACAGTCTTAGAGTAGCATATGGTGTTACCTACGTAATGCTCAAAGCATAGAAAATCACAAATTACACTAAGGCCCCGTTTGTTTGGGGCTATAGGGAGGGGATGGGGATTACTAATCCCTTGGTATTACTATATGTCAACTACTTAAAAATAATAAGTTCATTATATCCAATTTATAATATTTTTCGCTACACTATTAATTTAAACTACTATATAAATAATACCACATATTGTTTTCAAAGTATCAAATAACTACTTGTTGTGAACAATATAATAAATTCTTAACCAAAGAACATGCTAAGAAAAAAAACAGAATACATTTTATACGTGACAAAAAAAAAAATTCAAAACTAAAGGGGGCACGTGACCCCTCTTGCCCTATACTGCGTCTGCCCCTTGTCGACGCTCTATAGTCTTTGTAATTGGTGGAGGAGAAGGTGGTCGTAGTTATGTCAGAACAACAAAAAAAACATAATGATTTGTAAATAATTCCCTAATAGCACAATTTATTTTTATATAGAATTTCTTAATAAAATGATGTGAGAATAATTTGTAATAAACGTCATCTTGGTATCATTGCGTTTTAAAATGCAAAAATGGTAGTACATAAAATTTTAGCATAATGAATGGTTAAATTAAATTTTAAAATTTTATTTCGTTGCCCCCAAAAGATGCCATCTCATGTATTTTTTTTTCATATAAATTCAATAAAATTAATAAATTAATATAAAAATAAAATTATTATTCTTTTAAAAATTATTAAGTATTATAGTAATACCATGCAAATCGCGTTTGGAAGACTCCAAATGTCCTTTCTATATCCTTTTGATACGCCTCTTGCTAATTTATTTCTTGAGTTTGAATTAGTCCTTGAGGATAGATGTTCATTGGCAATATATAATTAGAATATTTTTTTTAATCAAAAGCTTAATTTAAAGACATTGTAATACATATAATTAAGTACAAACAATCACATTAAAAATTAAATTATACGGTGATGATATTAAAAAATAGCATATGCATTGCTAAAATGATCCTTTCAAAATATTACATTTTAAAATTATAGCATTCTAAATATAACAGTAGCACAATTGAAATAATAGATGGAGATGGTACATCATTTTGTATAAAAACTCTCTTTATATGTTTTACTTTTTAAAATATTAGGCCCTAATTCAATCAAATTATTATTCAAATAATTATATATTAGATAAACCATGGCATGTCACACCAAAGGCATTGAAGAGTATTTACATAATTTATTCTTTCTGTTTCATGCTTGAGAGAAACTTCAATTAAAATTTAATTTCGGTGATTCTGTACTAAATTATAAAATAAAGACGAAACCTTTTTCTTTCTATTTTTCCATTGTTGTACTTTAAAATTTTGTTTTCGATCTGTACTTAATATTTAACTTTTTTTTTTTTTTTTTGGGTCTTTTTCTTAATATATTTATTCAAGAATTCTGAAAAATGAGAGTAAAAGTTCAAACATCATTGTGGTCCGAAAGGCCCGCCCTTAGTTGATTTTGGGCCCAACTAAAACAACCTCATGCCCACATTGTTTTGGGTTGAGTCTCAAATAGTCTAAACCAAGCCCAGCCCAAACCCTCAACTATGCTGTGTTTGATTGAGAGATTTGAAAAGATAAAATAAAAAAAATAGGTAAAATATAAATAAAATATATCTACATTTCACCTAATTTCATACACCTTTTCCCTTTTCATTTCAAAATCACTTCCCAAATCTCC